GCACAGCATCCTCTCTCCTCCCAGCGCTGTGGTGGGCTACTGCTCAACTCCACACAGCCTCCCCTAAGGACATTAGGGAGGTGTAAGTCCTTCTCACTGCATATCCTGGCCTCGTGGATGAGGGACATACGTGCCATGAAGGCAGCAGTGATGTGTTCCCCTGGCTCCAGAGTCCCGGCCAGCATGGGGGTTCCTCTCCTTTCCCTGGCACAGAGGCCTCCCTGCCTGGTGGGCACAGAGCGGGCTGAGACCTGGCAGCTCTGGGGCCTCCTTGTCCCCACATCAGCTGCAAAAGCCAGGGAAAGGAAAGCAAGGTGCTGAGACACGGCTAGGTCCTGGTGGCATCTCCCCGGCTTCCCAGCCAGCAGGATGGGGTCCCTCTGTGGCAGCCTGTGGCTCCATCTAGCGCCCATGCCAGCCCGGCCCGGGCCAGCCCTGCACCCATTGCTGGGCAGATGGGCCAAATCAGAGCCCCTGGCAGCCAGCGAGGGCACCCTGGCCTGGGGCAGTCACCCCAGGGAGCCCACTCCCTGCTCCTGCGCAGGCAGGTACAGGAGGGCAGCGCTGCAATGGCATCCAGGAAAAAAAAAACCAGCAACAGGGAATACTCCAAGCAGCCGCTCAAGGAACTCATCAAGTGCTGTCTGACGGCAGAGGACGGGTCTCCCATCCCTTGGAGAGGAGATGGTCCTTGACACAGGAGATGCCCTTGGCATTTCACCCGTCCCAGTGCTCACCCAGGCCCACTGCTCATTGCTGAGGAGGGCTTTTCATGGGGATGGCTGTCCTGAAACTGGTCCCTGAGGGGTGCTGGGAATGGCCTGTCTCAACGTCCCGGTCTCCCCAGCCTGCCAGGTAAAGCAGCACTGGGAAAGTTAGGCAGGCTTCCCAACTAGGGGTTTACAGGAGGTGAGGAAAATATCCCAGCTGCAGTGCAGGGGTGGCGGGGGTTCCAAAAGGCTCTGGCCCTGCAGAGGGACCAGGCTCCCTCCTTCTCCCATCCAGACAGCAAGAGGGAATAATATGATCTCGATGGCCAGGACAGGTGCACGGATGCAGGTGAGTGGCCTCGAGTCTGCCCATGACCCTGAGGACAGGTGAGAGCAGCCCCTCTGCGGGGACTGCCCAGGCAGGGGCCATGCAGGGGAAAAGTCCACATCAAAGCTCCCGGTGCATGGCCATCCCCTGAGCCCCAGTGCTCCGGGTGCCTGGGCACCCTGGTGCTGGGGGTGGCTTGCTGCTCCCGGCTGCCCTCTGATCAGGGCTGGGGAGGGCGCAGGGCCGGGGATGCTCTGCCGAGGCCATAGCGGTGCCAGGCAGCCCGGGCTCCTGGCAGGGACCTGCGCCCGCCAGCCTGGCAGGCTGCACCCCTTCGTCCTCCCCCCCGGCGGGACGGCCTGGGCAAAGCGCTGAGTCACCCCGGCTGTCCCCTCCCGCTGTCCCCTCCCGCTGGCCTTTCCGGCAGGGACTGGCCGGGCAGCTGACTCGGCAGGGGGGCCAGGAGCGAGCCGAGCCCGGAGGCTGTCCCGGGTCGGTGGCCGTGCCCCGGTGCGCTCGCAGCACTGGCTGCACCGCTGGGGCCAGCGAGCGAGGTCAGTGCCCCCCCCCTTGCCGGTGCTGCCCCCGGGCACACACGCAGCCCCGGGGAGCGGGGAGAGCCGGAGCGGAGC